CCTGTTATTTGGTTATCAGATACTAAACTGGTTCTAACTGCTGCACTTAGTGTTATATAGGATTTTCAATTTCTTGTCCCCTACATAGCCTTCGCCTACTGGCATCTTGAGGTTTGTTGGCACCTCTCAATATTTATCACATGCTCCAATCACTACTGGCATCTTGAGGTTTGTTGGCACCTCTCAATATTTATCACATGCTCCAATCACTACTGGCACTGTTGACCCATTTACTAACTTTACTAAATTTACCCATTTACTGTCCATCAATCATACACTGTTTAATCATTGGGATAGCACTTCATTCTTGGGGTGCATTTGATGAGTTGTCTTGATTACGTTTCTTCTGGCAGCAGCATTCTTGGTGAAAGTCACTCTTTTCTTGTTTCTTGCCAGCACCATCTTTGTAGGTAGCTCTCACTGTTTTATGTTTTATACTATTTTGCCAGTTTGATCATCTCATCCACGTCTTTTGGTGTTCTCTCTTTTAGGAACAATGACATATCAGCGGAACACGTGGTCATGAACTGTTCACGTATTAGTAGATCAGCCAGTCCTTCAAAACTATCTTTACACTTAACCATGTCAGTCCACCCCGTGAAGCATCACCGTAGACGTGACACAAACTGAAATTCAGTCATGTTTTGACTTCTATGAACCTCTGATGAAAACCTTTCTTGGTAAGTTCATAGCATTTCAACAAGACCACTTTTAACTTATCATATTCCATGACAATTTCTGACGTCATGCCCGCATATACTTGTAGGTCTTTTCCTGTGAGAAATGGGCTGAGACAATCTGCCCAGTCGCCCTTGTCACAGCTCTGACTTTGGGGAAATCTTTCACACCTTACCAGGAAAGCTTCGTCGTCTTTCTGTTCAATAGATTTATAGTAACTTGACGCAATAGTACAACAAGCGCCAAATCACACCAATTGAATTACTCAAGATATGATTCGTACACAGTTACGTAAACAAACCAGCGATAAACTATCGCTTCTAAGAATAACTAAATTTAACACTTGCGCTATACTTAAGCAGAAACAGTAGCGTATATCTGACAATAATCATCTAGTGGTAGTAGGAGGAACAAAACAATCATGTAGTTAGTTACTTTACTAAACATGAACATATACAATCCAAGTAAGGTTCAACTGATAGGTATATTGTTATTTGTGAGAAATCGGATTTAAAAATTATGAAAATCGCACGAATTACACATCATATGAAAGAAGAATGTATTCCAAACTTGACACGAGATCATAATCAGTTTTTGTTGTTGTTTGAAACTTTCCTGTCAGTATGATAATCAGTTAAACAAATGTATAATTTTGTGAAATTATTTTTGCCTCTCTTTCACATTTAAAGGGCTTGGTGTCTGTTTTAACAATAGTCATTTTTTTTATTTTGTTGGAGAGTGAGCAAGTATTGTGTAATCTCTTTAACACCGAGAGATATTCAACACATGTCCATGGTAAGTCGACTTTATTTTGGATTTTTTATTATAATAAATGAAAAACTGTCATTGAAAAAAAGCGTTTTATATGTAATAAGAAATATTAATCAGATTATACATGTAACAGTAAAAACATGCTTGTGAAACTTCTAGGAATTACTCAGTGAGATAATATCACTATAGTAAGCCTGAATAGCTAATTAGATATTATAATTATTAATACAAAGGCAGAGAGTCTGTACAGGTAAAATGTTTTATGACGGTATAAAGACAATGCTTACAGATGTCTAAGTGTTATTATGAGAGTATGAAGACAGTGTGAAAAATATCTAAATGATATTTAAATGGTATAAAGACAGTGTAAACAAGTATTCAAACATTATTATGACGTTATAACGACAGTGTGAACAGGTTTTTAGATATATTATAATTACGACGGTCAATCTTAATGGTTATCTATTTGTTTACCATTACCCAATAAACGTATTTTATTTGGACGATTATCTAAATATGATAATAAAGGTACAAAGACAGTTAACCTGAATTGTACCAAGGGATTATTAAGGTCTAAATATATTAAGCTCGACCTGTATTTAAACGTTTTTATACAACTATAAAGACGGTAACTCTAAACTCAGAATAATAAACCTTAATGTATCACTTTAAACTTAATGAGGAGAAACGTATCCAATGGTTTTAAGTACTGTTTGCAACTTACTGACGGGGCATATAAATTTATCTCATGTAACTTTACTTCTGTAATTAATTTACCGTTCCCTCGTAATGCTTCAGCTGTTTCTTACTAGACTTGATAATTAATAATAATCTTGTGAAGTCGTTAATATCTCAAGATAAAACAAAATTAAAATAGAACTTAATTTATTTTCTTTATGAATCTATAGGGTATTACAATGACGTGGTATTTTTTCTCAAATTCCTGAATATATCTTAGATATTTTAGGTGTTATTCCAAAACTCCTAAATACATTTTAGTTTATTTAACTGCTATCCCCAGATTCCTGTATACATCGTGGTTGTTTAGTTGTTATCCCTGAATGCATTTTAGTTGCTTTGGTTGATATTCCCAGACTCCTAATACATCTTGGTTATTTAAATGTTATTCTCAGATTTCTAAATAGGTCTTAGTTATTTTAGTTTTTATTCTCAGACTCCTGAATACATCTCGGTTGTTTTAGTTACGGGAATACAGAACTTAAACATGTGAACTACCTCAAAGTGACAAGTGTTTCAGGTAATGGCTTTATGAAACTAACAGACACTGTTCCACATGTGTTTCAAATGATGGCTTTAAACTAGCCGACACTGTTCCACTTGTTTCAAATGATGGCTTTAAACTAACCGACACTGTTCCACATGTGTTTCAAATGATGGCTTTAAACTAACCGACACTGTTCCACATGTGTTTCAAATGATGGCTTTAAACTAACCGACACTGTTCCACGTGTTTCAAGTGATGGCTTTAAACTAACCGACACTGTTCCACATGTGTTTCAAATGATGGCTTTAAACTAACCGACACTGTTCCACATGTGTTTCAAATGATGGCTTTAAACTAACCGACACTGTCCGACACGTGTTTCAAATGATGGCTTTAAACTAACCGACACTGTCCGACACGTGTTTTAGATAACGTCTTTGAACAAACAGCGACTGCTGTTGAGCGGTTGCTCTCCCCTAAGGTCAGTTGTTTTAAATTATAGGCGGCCATGTGTTGCATAAGATACCGGTCAAGTTGAAAATACCTCTGCAGCTTATTCGTTAAGGCTGTAATGAGTAATGTAAGCTAATTTTTCATGTAACAACAGTCACTTTATACTATGAAAGCACAGTCTTCTGATATTTAAAAAAAATTACGTTACTTATAACAGAAATCAACTCGACTGCTCTCTAACTATTAAATGGCTAACGTGTATTTTTATATAGACTATGTAAAACTAAGAAATTATTTGGTTTCAAAATGTGTAAAATAATGGAAATCAAGAAACAAGTTCAATATGGCAAAAACCCTCCTACGCATTTTTTTGATGTTTCATATTTATTACAGACAACCTTCCTATTTGAAATATAGAAAACTCTAAAAAGTCAATGTGTAAAGAACTAGAACTGAGTTATTGACACGATTGGATTTCAGCAAAAGATCTTATTCTTCCACTTCAAAAATTAGGGAAAAGCTCTGGTTTGGTGTATCAACCTCGGAACTGTGGCTATCAAAAATTGGAGTAAGATCACTGATGTTTTAGGAATAGAACTGAACATTTTGAAGAATAGAAACTGATAGAGTACGTAATTAGTAAATAATATATATTGACATAGGTATGCTGCAGCAATGTGTTTGTTACATTAGACCAAGGAAAGTCCTACTTCGTCTAACATCAGGATACATACAAACCAATTAATGAAATATACGTTCCTTAGGCTCACCTTAGATAAACTTCCATCTCTATTCTTTTGGTTTCCGTCGAAAAATTATCCGCTAAAAATATATAATGTTGTGCTTTTGGGTATCAGAATGGAAAAACGTTATTAACTTGTAAAGATTCACATTCTTTTTCTAAAATCCATTATAGAATTTACACCTGATTATATATCTTCGCTGTAAAACGTATTGACATGAACATAAACACACCCACACATATATATATATATAGTACCATATAACTGTTATTTATTCCTTAGATTCTGTAAACCTAAATCAAATGTTAGAATTTTTGATTTAATGGACTGCTCCTGCCTTTTTTTTAGTGCAGGACGACGTTTAGGCTTCTATACTGAGGCCTTTTGAAGAGGGCCCCTAATATTTCTATACTTACTAGAATACCCTTGAAACAAAATGAAATGTTCCATCAAAGTTGTTTTTAGGTCTGTTACTTTTCTCTGAAACAAGTGCAAGTATTTCAGTAGCACTTGAGTAAATAAATACACAGGATTGTAAAAGGAAATGTCAATCAGGAAAACAAACGATAATACGGGGAGTGGGGTGGGGGTGGGGCTCGCCCACATTGTGACAGTTTAGCGTTAATGTGGTAAAATATTAACCTGTATACAGGAATTGAATTTTAAAACCATAGTTCCTTTGAGTAAAATCTGTATTTAACAAGTTGATGTGTTCGCTTCATAATTCTTATTTGTTTTTAAACCAGCATAGTTTTAAATATAATTCAATTACTAGTAGCAAAACAGTTTTACAAAAATGGTTAACTTGCGTCCAAGTTAAAACTCTTCCAGAACGTTTAGTCTTCAGTGCAATTTTCATGCTAATTAACAACAACCTGAAAACGTTCCTACTAAACTGGAAAAACCTTTTCCAGGAAAAAAACACGCGAAAGGTTATAGATCATAATGACAAAGGGACTTACTTGAACTAGCTTCGGTTTTGATATTACAAGGCTTGCAAATTGATAGAATACATATATTTATGTGTTGTTGTGTATATATAAACTAATAGTCATTTAGCTAAATTAATGATAATTTCGTAAGAGAATGAACACATTGGAAATCTCTGTATACATAAAAGAATTTTTCAATTGACGTTTTTTAAAACTTTTTAATACACAGAGAACTTTACTTGGTAGATAATAGCAGGCAACAACATCTTCATACAAATTATCAACTGCTTTATGCAGATGTTTCAAAGTTAATTCTGATTTACGAAAAAAATAATTTCTTAAGTTTTACAAAATTAATACACTCATTAACATACTCGTAGAAATTAAAGCTTCAAAAAAGCAACGTGTTCAAGAAGTAATTGTGATTTACATGAAATTTAAAATACAACTGGACATCAGTCACAGAGTAGAGTCTGTTCCGTACATTGGGACAAAGGGCATTTTAAATTTATCCCAACTTAATCAAGTTTGGTTTATGTATCAACAATTTATACGGTTTGGCATTGGATATGAAATTTAGAGGCAGGTTTATCAGCTTAGATAGTGTCAGCCATTTTTTCTTAGGCACTGTCACAGACGAAAGAAGATTGGAGGATAGCTTGGTTACAAAACCACCTGGTCTTCCGTTTGATAAAAACTGGGTAGACAATCTGCGAAAAGGCGACGTTAAACTTGAAGGTCTGGATAAAGATGGCCTAAAAAAATTTGTGCCTGTGAAGCTATTAATGTGAAAGATTGGAGAATTGGGTAAGCCAGCATATCGAAGAGACCTGTGATGCGCTTTCTCCGTTGCACCAGCAAATATGCAGCCAATGAGAAAAGTCAGGAAATACCACGTGATCATTGTTGTAAATCTGGAATAAAACATGATAATTATTCCACAGTTAAAATATGGTAATCAAAGCTTTATTTTTTATTTTCAGAAAGAAAAATGCAGTTAAAATACAAATAAAAAAACTAAGTTTATGGAAAGTGAACGTTAATAAGCACTTTTACTATTACCTGATTTTTTTTACACGAAGCGTTTAAATTGAGAGTGGGATTTCAAGGAATAACAGCCTTAACCCCAAAAGTAGCAGGTGTTTATAAATTACACAACCAACTATCATGTAATGCCTCATAAGGTATAGTATTTGATATTTCCAACCAGAAGGTACATTACACGATACACGAGCTCAACCAGCAGGTGTGAAACCTGATACAGAACTACTGAGATCATACAGTCAGCAGCACCAAATAGCGTCACTGTTCTTTTTATAAAATACCTAATAATAAAACTTTTACCTCTTCTGGCCTTAATAATAATATTACTTCATTCACACAAAAACAACGCACTTTTCACCTTCACGGGTCCCGCGCTCCCAGAATGGTCAGGGAAATAACCTGGCGTGCGATTAATCATTTAAAATTGTCAGAAGCCTGACATGTTGTTATGTTATTTTAACATGTTTGTTGATTGTTAGACGACTCAAAATAAGAAAAGCATTAATTGTTTTAAATATTTTTATGTAGTGAATTCAAAGTTAGTTTATTAATGTTTTATTTCAGAATTACTTCTGACAGCTAGGATTGGAATTTTGCACATGATTTTCGTAAAAACGAACCGATTTCTACTTAATAAGAAAAAAAAGAAATATATGTATATAGCTATGCTTGCATTATATTAGTTCGACAAATAACAAGTAATATATACATTTAACATTCCCGGTGATTACTCAATAAATATGTATTACTGTGGGAAAACATCTAACGCCGATTGTTTCTTCTTGTTATTTTTTTCTTATTAAGTAGAAATCGGTTTCGTTTTTACGAAAATCATGTGCAAAATTCCAATCCTAGCTGTCAGAAGTAATTCTGAAATAAAACATTAATAAACTAACTTTGAATTCACTACATAAAAATATTTAAAACAATTAATGCTTTTCTTATTTTGAGTCGTCTAACAATCAACAAACATGTTAAAATAACATAACAACATGTCAGGCTTCTGACAATTTTAAATGATTAATCGCACGCCAGGTTATTTCCCTGACCATTCTGGGAGCGCGGGACCGTGAAGGTGAAAAGTGGTTTACAATGTATTGTTAGAGTAGCTTTACATTTATGAGTATTTATACAACTTCATGGCCATGTCCCAATATTTGTGTTAGATAGGTTTTGTTCACAAGTTGAAACGATGTTTGATATTACTTCATTCACACATTTACTACAGTGTATTTAGACAACTTCGTGGCCATGTCCCAATATTTTTTAATATTACATTGTTCACAGTGTATTGTTAGAGTAGCTTTACACTTACGCGTATTTACACAACTTAATGGCCATGTCCCAATATTTTTTAATATTACGTTGTTCACAGTGTATTGTTAGAGTAGCTTTACACTTACGAGTATTTACACAACTTAATGGCCATGTCCCAATATTTTGTGATATTACATTGTTTACAGTGTATTGTTAAAGTAGCTTTACATTTCTAAGTATTTAGACAACTTAATGGCCATGTCCGCATATTTTGTGATATTACATTGAGAACTGTAAAGCTACTCTAACAGTTAAAACAACAACACGTTTTTGTATTTATATTGCAAATAAGATGCTAGTCGAACATTTTTTTTCTGTTGTATTTGAACATATTGTGCCTTTTAATCTATTATTCTTTGTATTGTGTTTAAAATATAATTAATTATAAATAATTTTAGTTTTATTAGATAAAAGTTGTGAAATTACATTTTTCCAACAATAAATTTCAAAGTCAAATATTCATTTATTTTTTAATTTTAACCATCCACTATCAGCAAATTCTCCGCTCAATAATCCCTCAGCAAGTTTCAATAACTCTAACTTAACAAACAGGTGTCGCCTCTAGCATAGTCTCTTTAATCATCAGGTAATAAGCTATATCAATGCAACATAAATCTTTTAAATATGAAATTCCTGGTTATAAGCTCTTATTAATTTAAAGGTTGTGATACGTTAATAATAAAAATCAAACAACTAAATTGGCAATACATCTTTTTCTGGTGTTAATATTCTATTATAGATTGAAAAAGTTTTGGTTAGTTTCATAAATAACTGTTTCAACAAAACGACTAGAGAAAGGTGCGTTTCAAAGGATGGCTGTTGGTACTATTTTCTTTGTTAGCACCTCCATTTAATAATTCGTTATGGGCATTATTCATGTACTAAACACAACATTAAACACAACTATCATACATAATAGAAGGCTGCGGGCAGCACTTGAGATACATAATAAGGTTAGTTACTAACTGAGCGCTTTGGGCAAGGTGATAGTCTTTCAGAGCAGACATTTTGCTGAAGGTCATTTCTTGTATGCATGATCTGGCGCCAGTATTGTGAGGAGCAAGATAATCTTGTATTTAGAACTTCGCTTTAACATGTAATTCTAAGAACTCATGAGTGAAAGCAATGAAAATATGTTATGATATGTCAACCACACTACATAAACTATATCCAGTGCCAACGAGACCTTTCGTCCAATACAAGATCTCCTCAGGCCGGCTGTGAATCAGATTAAGCAAATTAATTGTAATTTTGTTATCAATTTTATTTAAGTCATTTGCGTTCATATTTTAGGGTGAGAATTAGTAACACAACATTATTTATTTAGTTTTCAATTATTAGCACCAGTTCAATTATTAGTATATTTATATTTATTATTAATTTAACTACGCTTGCAAATGACAACTGCTATGTAAACAGATTTACAGATTGTACAATTTTGTTATAGTTTTATAATTTTACATATTTACTCTAGGTCTTTCGAAGTAATGAGAATTAGGATATTAATGCATGTATTTTTCTAACAAAAGGACAGTTTATATGTATATGTATGTATCGTTTGTCTAACTGAAACCACGTTATCGTATAAAAGGTCCTACAAACATGAGACTAGGTTTGAAACAGATAATAAGTTACTTAAACTAACGGAGGTGAGGCTAGTATCAGGCAAGTGGTAACACTTCCCGTGTAGGGATGGCTCGGATTGTTCATCGAAATGGTATTTTAAATATCTCCCCAACAGGTCATCAGAACTTTACAATACTGTACAGTGTTACCTTTTATAACAATATCTATGTAATGACTGAGTCACGAGTTCTGGGAGTGTCTGTAAATAACATAGCAAACAGTTTGAATTTCTTGTTCTTCTTTCTTCAACTTCTTTTTTTTTCTATATGATAACTCAAAAACTAAAACAATGATGTCAACCAATTTCACTGAGTTGACATAGTTTCAAACGGAGTATCCGCTTTTAAAAGTATTATTAATAACTAGTAGTGATTAAAAAATCATAATTCTAGTGTAAACAATGTTATCATTACCTCTTTAAGTTAGCTTTTTCACAGAAATTTGTTCATTTAAAAAGCTTAAATACAGGGTGAAACAGGAATTACCAGCCAGTAATAGATAAACAATAAATATTACAGTTGGAACCTCATTGTATTTAGAACTTGGTTATATATACAACCTTCCTATATCTATTGAAACACTGCATTAAATACAACAACAAGCAAACAAGTAAAGAAAAAACTTTCAAAACAGGTGTAAATATAAGGATAGCTAATATCAATCCTTCAAAAACAATGCAAACAAGACAGTAGGGATGGCATTTGCATCATCCCTACATAATAGCACAGGCATGAATTAATATATAGTAAGGTATATATAAATATTCAATTACAATTGAGCTTAAGTTATCCTATTTTTGTCTGTTAACATTCTACTACACTGTGTGCCTGTGCTATGATGTGGGGATGATGCAAATGCCATTCTTACTATCTTGTTTGTACTGGTTTTGAAGGATTGATATTAGCCATCCCTACATTTACTTCCATTTTTGAAAAGTCTTTATTTATATACTTATTTATGAAATACGCTCATAGACCATATTCTGTGTGTTTGTTTTTGAATTTCGCGCAAAGCTACTCGAGGGATATCTGCACTAGCCGTCCCTAATTTAGAAGTTATGCACTAGAGAAAAGGCAGCTAGTCAACACCACCAAACGCCAACTCTTCGGCTACTTCTTTACCAATAAGTAGTGGGATTGACTGTCACATTATAACACCCGCACGGTTGAAAGAATGAGCATGTTTCAACCCCAACCACAGCTATGCGAAGTCGTGAATGTTCTTAGAATGGCATACAAGTTGTTCCAAAGAAACTTTTACCAGATATACCTTTAAATTAAAAGGTATTCGTTAAGATTCATTCTAGTTATTTATGAAAAAGCTTTTGAATTGCCTGAATTTTCCAGCACTGTGATCTCTGTCAATTTCTTTCTTTTCAGTTTACAGTCTCAAAAAAATAAACAAACAATGATTGAGCTCTAGTAGCTCTAAAACTTACAAATTTTTATCACGTCACTGTATGTCTTTATCTGTACGACTAATGATTTAGACTGGCCGTGTATGTACCAAAACTGTAAAAACAACAACAACAATATTAATTTAAATCTATTCTATAGTACGAAGATATCACATAATGATGATAAGCAAACTCTCAGGATCCTTTTCTTAAACTAGTCTTTAATATAGAAAACGCCCGAAATTCTGGTGATTGTTGTTTTAGTTCTCTGTTTTTCAACTGAGCTAGCATCTTGGCAAAAATAACAAAAACATTACTAAAAGGCTAAAGAAATTTTAAATTGGTGTGAAATAATCTTACCTTAGGAATGTGCATTCACTATGTGATTTCTCGCTAAATTTGACTGCTTATTTTTTTTTTTACTGAATTTCGCGCACAGCTACACGAGGATTGTCTGCACTAGCCATCCCTAATTTTGAAGTATAAGACTAGAGGGAAGACTGCTAGTTAGCACCACTAATTGCTAACTCTTGAGCTACTCTTTTTACCAACAAGAAGTGAGATAGACAATCACGTTATAACCCACCCCGGTTAAAAAGGCGATCATGTTCGGCGACGGGATTCGAACCCGCGACCCGAAAATTGCGAGACGAGTGCCCTAATAACCAAGCTATGTGAGGCTTTTATTGTTTAATTAGGTTGTATAACATATCACATTCGTGTTGCTTCTCTATTATGGCGATCTGAACCTGTGGAATGGAGTTCCTTTCTGAATTATATGGTAATTGCACAGATTCCATCTATCAAGGTGTGGTAATGGTAATGATCATATCTATCAAGGTGTGGTAATGGTAATGATCATATCTATCAAGATGTGGTGATGGTAATGATCATATCTATCAAGGTGTGGTAATGGTAATGATCATATCTATCAAGGTGTGGTGATGGTAATGATCATATTTATCAAGGTGTGGTAATGGTAATGATCATATCTATCAAGGTGTGGTAATGGTAATGATCATATCTATCAAGGTGTGGTGATGGTAATGATCATATCTATCAAGGTGTGGTGATGGTAATGATCATATCTATCAAGGTGTGGTAATGGTAATGATCATATCTATCAAGGTGTGGTGATGGTAATGATCAAATAGTACCGGCTTCAACCTCGTGTATCTTATTCTAACTATGTAAACTACAGACAGGTTTGATAATCTGTCTAGCTTTGTACTCATCAGGAATTGTTTGCTTTGTTAATTACTTTGAGGGAAAAATTGAAATATCAAAATAAAATAAAAACTATTTGTTTTTCTACGGATCATAAAAGTTCTCTCTGGTCAACCCCACAAGCTCAAGGGTAAGTTTGAGATCTTATAACGCTAAAAATTGGATTTCGATACCAGTGGTGGGCACCACACAGATAGTCCATTGTGTATCTTTGCAATTAACAACAAAGCTAATAACAAACTCTTTCCGAAAGGTCTATTTCCATTGAGCAGATCTTTGATTAGTTTTCTTTTTAAATCAAACCAGAATTTCCAAACGTAAAATGTTACTCCATAGTCATAAAAGTAGTATTCTAAAGTTAACCACAGGATAGGTATAACGATGAAAGCTGAGATTCTATTAAAACACCAAGCTTTCGATAGACAAAGTGGGAAAGTCATTAATGTAGGAATTTATTTACCATGTATAGTCGAGACGGTTTAGTCTACTATGTGATCATTAGCCAATCAAGTGATATGTCCACTTCCATCCCAATCTTGTTTGGTTCCTTTTTCAATTTTAGTAGCTAGCCCTACATAGCTTTTATATTTAGCGATAATTTTCCCACTGACACTTCTAATATATTATCTGTATCCCCAGTAGCTGGTTGTGAGCTCAAGTTTCAGCTGGGAGTATTTGTAACTTTTATACACGTAATAAATGCGACAGTTTGTTTTTACTTAGGCTATATAAGATTTTTTGTTAAAATAACTGTAGTGTGAATAACATGCTCTGTTAGAATAACCGTAGCGTTAATAATATGTTCTGTTAGAATAACAGTAGTATGAATAATATGCTCTGTTAGAGTAACTATATTGTGTGAAGAGTATGTTCTGTTAGAATAAGCGTAGTGTGAATAATATGAATGATAAAAACAGTAAGTACTTTAGGGTTGGGTAGTGCAACTTTGCGTAGAATCTTCGAACAACAGTACTTAAGGTTCATATTTTGCCTTAACAGCCTATTACAAACCGACTAACTTAAGCTTAACATCTTTTAAGCAATTGTTCAGTACGTAAAACGAAAGTTAACTGCTCAATAATTCAATCAGTTTACGTTATTTGTTGCTTATAGGTGTTGCTAGATTTGTTTGTTCACATTTTCTATTTTTCTACATTCCCTAATCCATGCGAGTTCCTACGTAAATATGTATAACTAACTTTTTGTTTAATTGATAGTGTACAATGCAAGTAATACCATTTTGTTTTATTACAGCGGTTTTATTTTCACTTTTGTCGACAAGCTGAACATATTCTAAATAACTTGTATTTGATTTATTACATGTACTTATGCAAAACGAAATATTGTTTCTTTGTGTACATAGTGTGATAATTAGGGTTAGAATAGTGCAACAGAACATCACAGCCTAGTGTTTTCCTTTCATTACACACACACAATGCTTTAAAAGATTTCTGTGTCAGCTGATAACCTTTCCTTAGCGGTAAATAGTAAACAACCTTTTCTAAGCCTCTTACGTGCCAACTAATTACGTCCCTTTAACTTCAACAGAACAGGTAGAAAGCTTCTCATGACTTTCTGTCATTGAACTTACTTCACCTGTCACTGATGTACAGTAGTAGTTGCACCACGTTCCCAAACTTTCTACAACCAACACTGTACTTACTTCACCTGTCACTGATGTACAGTAGTAGATACACAACGTTCCCCAACTTTCTACGACCAACACTGGACTTACTTCTCCTATCACTGATGTACAGTAGTAGGTGTAGAATTCACCCAAACTTTTCACAACCAACACTGGACTTATCCTATCACTGATGTAGTAGATGCACAACTTACTCAAATTTTCTACAACCAGTTTAGTATCTTTTAATCAACCACATACGAACCTATCATTCTAAGCCACCCAGCTATTTGGAAGACCACCTTCTAAAACTTATTATAATCAAGTGAATCATATCTGTTTTTGAACCAACCGCATTCCATTTGACTACTTTTCTATTGACTTCTACATATCTGCGGAATCTATTAAAAACATACCAAATGATTATCTCTTTGTTAAAGTCATATAAATATCTTGATTAAACTACCACCAAGATGTTAAAACTGTCCATATGATGGATGGATGTTTTAATACATCCCCTAACTGCTTATATATAATTTCAATATTTTTTATACACCAGGTTAAAGTTTTTCCTAGATACCAGCTAAATATATTCCTTATCAACCCGCATGCCATCCGAATATCGTACTTAGATATATACCCAGAAGCTAGTCATCTGCTTTAGGCAAACTACACATCATCTGTTTATCTTCTTTAAGAATCTAAATACGAGATCAATATCGACTAGACATCGGCATCAGCTAACGTCTCTGACACATAAGCTAATTATGTTCTTTACTAATCATCTACACTCCGGTTGTTTATCTTGTCTAATCATCTATACTCCGGTTGTTTATCTTCTCTAATCATCTACACTCAGGTTGTTTATCTTCTCTAATCATCTACACTCAGGTTGTTTATCTTCTCTAATCATCTACACTCGGGTTGTTTATCTTCTCTAATCATCTACACTCCGGTTGTTTATCTTCTCTAATCATCTATACTCCGGTTGTTTATCTTCTCTAATCATCTACACTCAGGTTGTTTATCTTCTCTAATCATCTACACTCAGGTTGTTTATCTTCTCTAATCATCTACACTCGGGTTGTTTATCTTCTCTAATCATCTACACTCCGGTTGTTTATCTTCTCTAATCATCTACACTCAGGTTGTTTATCTTCTCTAATCATCTATACTCCGGTTGTTTATCTTCTCTAATCATCTACACTCGGGTTGTTTATCTTCTCTAATCATCTACACTCAGGTTGTTTATCTTCTCTAATCATCTATACTCCGGTTGTTTATCTTCTCTAATCATCTACACTCAGGTTGTTTATCTTCTCTAATCATCTATACTCCGGTTGTTTATCTTCTCTAATCATCTACACTCAGGTTGTTTATCTTCTCTAATCATCTATACTCCGGTTGTTTATCTTCTCTAATCATCTATACTCCGGTTGTTTATCTTCTCTAATCATCTACACTCAGGTTGTTTATCTTCTCTAATAATATACACTCCTGTTTTTTATTTTCTTTAATCACTTGTGAAATTTACTGCAGCAAACATATATGTTTTAGAAAAATAAAATAGGTTAAGGTATTGTCTAAAAAGATAGTATATTTTCTACGGTAAATATTATTGTTCTTGCAAACCTTTGTTTGTTAATTTACTACAGAATAATTTCCTTAACAACCTGAAAACCAGCTGAACATCTCTCTTAACAATCTTACATACCATCTGAATGTATTCATTAACACTAGTTATTTCCATTAACCAAATATTCCACTACAGTCTAAAGAACGTTGTTTAAATGAAAAAGCAGATGACATTGTTAATAAGGTGTATATATGCAAAATTGATAACCAAGTAATTTCACTTACCGGAATTTCACATGTGATACCTCTTCCATACTCAGTGTATTTCTTTGCCGAAGTGTAAAGCCTGTGTTAAAAATATTACAAGATATTTAAGTAAGAGAAGACAAATTTTTTTAATCAATTTTTATAACTGAGATGATATGTTTAAATGTACATAGCGGTAAAATCTAACCGTAGAAATGTTCTTGAAGTTTCTTCAACTGGTATGTTTAAACGTACATAGCAGTAAAATCTAACTGTAGAAGAGTTCTTGAAGTTTCTTCAACTGGTATGTTTAAACGTACATAGCAGTAAAATCTAACTGTAGAAGAGTTCTTGAAGTTTCTTCAACTGGTATGTTTAAACGTACATAGCAGTAAAATCTAACTGTAGAAGAGTTCTTGAAGTTTCTTCAACTGGTATGTTTAAACGTACATAGCAGTAAAATCTAACTGTAGAAGAGTTCTTGAAGTTTCTTCAACTGGTATGTTTAAACGTACATAGCAGTAAAATCTAACTGTAGAAGAGTTCTTGAAGTTTCTTCAACTGGTATGTTTAAACGTACATAGCAGTAAAATCTAACTGTAGAAGAGTTCTTGAAGTTTCTTCAACTGCAAAGTCATCTAGTAGTATTTAAAGCATTTATTACACTGTAGAAACGACCATTGGTCAGGAAAGCATGCTTATTGGCTGCTGATGTTTAACTACAGGTGAAAGTGGCAATCCTGAGTTCGGAAAAACTCGTGACGTATGAAATGTTTTGTAGAGCCCATAACATGATGATGCTGGTAACCTACAATGTGTGACGTGGTTACACGCGAGACTTCCCGCCTTTACTACTGACGTAGTTGGTCAACAGGACAGTGTCGTGTACACGGGATACAAATCGGTCAGGTTTAAGTGACTTATCACTAACTAATAAATATGTGCTTTCACAAAATATACACACAGCTGTACTGGCTTAAAGTTCATCATCCAATAGAAAAATTGCTTTTAAGTGTTTCATAATTTAGAATTATATATGTTCATTGAGCCAACCAATCAATCAGAACCGAAAGAATTCAGAATTAGAAGGAAAACTGCTCGTACTTTCGAAATGATTTAAAAAATAATGAAATTTATAACAGAATTGAATAGTTGAACCCATCTGTTTTTCTGTGTGTTATGATTGGATTTTGTTTGTTTGTAATTAAGCACAAAGCTAAACAATGGGCTATCTGTGCTCTGCCCACCACGGGTATCGAAACCCGGATTCTAGCGTTGTAAATCCGCAGACATACCGCTGTGCCATTGGGGGGGGGGCATTATAATTGGAACAAAAGCTAGAACTAATCTTTACTCTTAACACACTTGGAGATAATTACACCTTAGATGGATCTTCTAATTATTTTAAAAACTTAGCTTATATTACGTATTTGGATAAAACTGGACTGGCATTATACTTAACCTTGCACACTTGGATAAAAAATAGACAGGTATTATATTTACGTTGCACACTTAGATAACATTGGACAAGTTTTTATACTTACATTACAAAATAAGCTTTCTATCTGATATTGTTAAATGTGTAGAGTTATGATTAAATGGGCGTAATGTGAAGGGATTAAGGCTTGTGGCATATTAACTTAAATTAAATAGATTTTTGACCAGGAATGGCGAATTTGTTCGAGCATGTAGGTAAGTAATAATCGGTCGATATTTCACTGTGGTTAAACATACTTTAATTTCATGGTGAGCAGTAGTTAAAAGTTTAAAACTCGAGTTCTCTGTCCTATAAACTGAAATAAGAAAAAGCAACAGAAAAGACAATGCAATAAAGAAAAGTTATCAAGGTTATAGTTTTCTTTAAATATACGTTTAAACAATGGTTAAAGTTTGTGGTTTCGTGTCGTTTCACACGATAGACATTTGTCTGTTTAGCTGAGTAACTAATGTTTTTTGGGTTTCGAACATTTCAAAAATGAAGAAGAATATTAAAATAGGACTTAAGCACTTCTGTCACGACTATGTTTCTCACGTGTGATGAATCAGTTTTAAGCTTACTTAAGGTGCGGTCAGTGATTTATTCCAAGACTATACAGTGTAGTACTTGTTTTCTACTGTTATTATAAGCTTGAGTATAATTTAGTCCTAAATTATAATGTAGTTCAATTTTGTATGTTTTTCTAAACAGTTCTGTAAACATATCTCCATTTAAAGATTTAATGAATTGTTTTGCTAGAGAAATGCAATTTAGATTTCATAAAAGTAATATTTTTCTTTAGTAAGGTCGGCTGTAAGAAAAGTTAACTAATAACCAAATAGGCCTATAGTAAAGTTTTTGATTTCGGAGCTGGCGAATCGCGTTCTAATTCTTACGATATCACAAAATATTCCCCGCACTTTGAGCTTGGATGGTGGTTGGTAAGATGCCGCCTTCCCTCGGGTAAATAGTTCAAAATTAGGGACGGCGTTTAGTAGTTTTGCCATAAATATTAAAGTACAAATACCTAAATAAGCATATTGGTGGAATGCATAAACTGACAGAACGAGATTATATTAACGTGTTAATTTATTAAGCTGATATAAATACTCCAATGCAGTTAAACTGTTACAATTCATTCTGTATCACTGAAGGACTGTAATTGCTTGAAAACTGTGTTAACTGAATTTATCCACCCACCTTTCTTTCCAAAACTGATAGAAGAAATATATTTAGCGGGACATGTAGGTTCGAGGAACAGTAAGGTTTAATTTTGTGACACATTAACAGCCCTTTCTAAAATCTATTTTTAATTCCTTCCACTTTCTATTCACTGTAACTGTAGCAGGATGTCTTATTTAATAATTGTAATTTTTGTTTATTCTTAATATACACTTGCTCATTCTTTAAGCACTTAACTGTGGGTCTTAAGCATTCAGTTATGTCATGTGGGCAGACGCTAACATCCTCTTAATATATAAATATAATAACAGCTTCAGAAAACTCCGTAATGACTGTATACATTCAGTGATAAATCTGACTGATTTCGGACTTCTTGCAGAGAGTCTATGCTAGAGTAGGTAGAGTTCTTATCCTGTCGTGGGATAAAACTGTCAGGATAACTTTCACTAATCGCTAAAAAGGTCTTTATTCGTAATATTTTTTGTTATTTTATAATTCAAAGTTTATTAAGCGGATTTAAACACTTAGCCACCCTTTCAGGTAAAAGGGTTTAAATTTTAGACTATCTATTTTGTAAGTTTTGTTTCGAGAAAAAGCAAAAATGGCAAATGCTGAGCAATCAGACATAGTTGTTTTTTTAATAATTTGGGTATATTATTTCGTCTAAAGAATACCGTAACATTCCAGTCAGCTTTATGGTAAAATAAGTATTCTACTTTTGAACAGTCTCTCGCCCCCCCCCCCTTTTATTGTCATATTATCGTACATTGTTATTGTTGGATTTTTTTAAATCGTAAACATACACAATTGGCTAGTTGTACTCTGCTCATCCAACTTTAGTGTTACAAGCTTATCGCTGTGCCACAGGGGTCACTTCATATTAAAGTTTCAACTTTTGTTATTTTTGCTATATAATGAATTACGCAACAAATAAATGTAAAAAGACAACTTACTTTAATTTCTTAACAACTGTGTATCCTATGAGTTGTGTTATTGTGAATTAGTTACAAAATGATCGCGTAATGCGCGACCTCAGAAGCTATAGCTGAGTGAACTCTGGCTTGTATTATAGTCGCGTTCTTTTTTGTGATCTCAGAAACAGAGTGGACATTGTCTTGTATTATAGTCGCGTTCTTTATGTGATCTCAGAAACAGAGTGGACATTGTCTTGTATTATAGTCGCGTTCTTTATGTGATCTCAGAAACAGAGTGAACATTGTCTTGTATTATAGTCGCGTTCTTTATGTGATCTCAGAAACAGAGTGGGCACTGTCTTGTATTATAGTCGCGTTCTTTATGTGATCTCAGAAACAGAGTGGACATTGTCTTGTATTATAGTCGCGTTCCTCATGAGACCTCAGAAGTGGACGCCCCACTGTTTGGCCACGTATATTTTCTTATCTAAGAAAATATGTGATTGAACAGCGTTTTGTTTGGATAACGTTATTTACGTAATCTGAGAAGCTGTGTAAACAACTTCTCGTATTGATCATACTTAATGATATTTCATGAGTTATTTTTCAGAGAATATCATCCTGTGTGTAATATCTCTTGTTATTTTTCACTTCGAAAGAGCAATGGTTTAGCATGAAACTGTATTAGAAAGAATAAGTCTAAGTTAATTATGAAATTTTCGTTTTAATTTCTGTGTAATTTAAATTAAGAAATAAAAAGGATCTATGTTAGTGATGTGTAAAGGATTTTATATCAAGCCATGCGAATTTGACTATATGTCAGCAGAAACGCAAAGAAGCTTATACAAAGATAGCTAATACTAAAGAAACAGGAGCTTTAACTGGATCTTCTGAGCCTCACAATGCTTGTACTTTGCTCAGTTTAGTTTTTTTTTTCAGAGATTGTTTGTTTGTTTGTTTTTAATTATGCACAAAGCTACACTAGGGCTATCTGTGCTCTGCCCATCACGGGTATCGAAACCCGGTTTCCAGCGTTGTAAGTCCGCAGACATACCGCTGTGCCACTGGGGGGCATTTTTTTTTCAGAGATAAACAAGGCGTCGACAAACTATATTTAAAGCAGCAGATTTTTTTTCCGCAAAAAGCCTTCCTATGCATGACTTGTGACAAAATCTGTTTAGTAAAATAATTTAATTATTATTAAAAAATTGACACTGTAGAATATTCTAAAAACAATTTGTCGGCAACGCTTAGATTTATGCGTAAGAGCTGATATTTTTCAATAATCACTTAAGCTGCAACAAAGTTATTTGTAATAGCATAACACATGCAAAATGACGAATTGCTTTTGAAACACTTTAGGTTTTAGTATAATATGGCCAGTGTATTGGAAGAAGCCAATAGTTCTGGTAATTTAAAATAGATAAGCTCATAACCACAATATAGCCAATAGTTCTGGTAATTTAAAATAGATAAGCTCATAACCACAATATAGCCAATAGTTCTGGTAATTTAAAATAAATATAC